GCGCCAAATCCATCTTCAGGTTATTCCGGCCTGAGGGTGTGGTGTGGGGGTGAAGGTGAGGGTGAGGTGCGGGTAGGTTCACCCACACCACACCCTCAGGCCGGAATAACCTGAAGATGGATTTGGCGCACTTTTTTGGGTGTTCTTACCCTTTGTTCTTTGTGTTCGTGGATGTTCGTGAATGTTCCTTGGGTGTTCGTGGATGTTCGTGGGCGTTCATTCAAAATATATGTTTAAAAAGCGAAACTATAAAAAGTTTTTTGGGTGTTCGTTAGACGTTGCTATACTCAGTTCGACGAGCTCTATCGATTGGCTAACTCAGATTTTAATTTGGGGGTGTTCGTGGCTGTTCGTAGCTGTTCGTGGGTGTTCGCGTCTTTTAGCAATACCCTAAACTATAGGTAGGACGATCGTGCGAGAGAGTAGTTACGTTTGCATCCACCTTTACCTCGCTTTATAAAATCATTCTTATGTGTAGGAAGTCAAATTCTTCTACTAGAAAACTATTTTGACCATCAGAACGGTGTTTTATCAGTTAGCCCCATCCAAGTCACGTTGTTCCACCAAATTCGGATTTCTGCCTGTACGTTAGCATACAGTTACATTAACTATAGTTTGCGTTCTATCAGTTATATCCGCAGAGAGATTTAGAAAAACACCGCGTTTTCTAAATAAAGTAACGACACCTATGTGCACCAAAAACTTTTTGCGAAGAAAGATCTTAAAATCTTCTGGTGTTCTTACTAGTAAGTTGTTTTTTGCGAAAATTTTTATATGAAAATTGACAGTGTTACAAATAAATTGGAGAAAGGCATTTGTCGTTACCAAACCGAGAGCGCATGTGAAACAAAAAATAACTGGATGTAGGTTTCTCTCGACAAGTTTGTTCGTCGCCTTGATCTTATGCATAGAAAGTTTAACCCTTTTAGTTTTTTTGTTTAGCTGAGAAAGATAGAGGCCAAGCCGGCGATTAATCACAGTTTCCTCTCAACCAGGAAGAATTTGGCGTCAATTTAAAAATTTAAATAGTAGTTTTGCGTGACTAGAATTTGACACTCTTTCGAAATAGAAATGGGTGTATAAGTCAAGACAGAGGGTGAGGGTAACTTCTGCAAACTTTATGTACATTAGCTTGATTTATAATGAATTTTTTTCGTCTTTTTTTCTACAGCACCGAACACAACTACAACACCGAACACATCAACTTTGCCTACTTGGACGGGTGAGTGATCAGTCATACATCACCAAAATCGCATTTTAATACTTTTTGGACATCGGAAACTTAAGATATCAAGAGACTTAAATAAGCCTTTTTTTATCTAATGATCAGTTCAGCGAGCTCTACATAAATAGAGAGGTTTCAGCGAAAACCGATAAATTAAGTGTAAGGGTCAGAGAGTTCCCCTAGAATTTCACTTGTAAACTGCACGGCTTGTGCACGTAGGATGTAGCTTTTTCGATCAAGTATTAATTTTCGATATTAAAAATTCTAAATACACTATTATATGGATTTTTTGACGCTAAAAACGAATATGAACTTAATTTTTCGAAAACATCGGCTTTTATTATTGAAAGCAGGTTTTTAAACATTGCGAAAAGTGCATTCTAAACTTTTGACGCTAAAAAAACTTTTCAAAATCAAAATTCTAATCATGTGGTTTTGTTCAGAATTTGATTATCTGCGAAATGGCGTAATTCGTTTTTAGTTCGTAGCTCAGAAAAAGTAACGACACCTATGTACACTTTCCAGCTTTCTGTACAATTTTTACAGCTTCCGGTGTGCTACAACCTTGAAACTTTCAGAATCTTCTAAAATCGCCTAAATGAACGCTTCCTGAAACTTTAGAGGCTTTCTGACCCTAGGAAGTGGTCGAACGAAAAACTGTGTCATAGCGTCACGTTTTAAATCCTTTTTAAATTGGAACAACACCTCCTAACCAAAATTTTTTTTACGAATCAATAGCACATCTCTTCCTCTACAAATCAGTCTTTGACAGTTTTCGTTTGGGCACATAGTTTCTCAAAAATTTAACGTTTGGACGCATTTCCGTGGTAAAAAGGACCTATCACTGTCACAGCGTCACGCAGTCCAAAACCTCACTTTCTAATTTCGATTTTCAACCGATTTCTTTAATTTTTATATGTTACATGAAGTCTTTCGGTCCAGATCGAATGGCGAAAACGCGAGATCTCCAGCTCTTCCCATTGCTGACAAAATTTTAAGTTTAGTATGTCAAAAAATGTCACAGCAACATGCGTGGACAAGGCGTACAGTTTGAAATCCCATTTCATATCACCGACAAAAAATTCAAGTTCATTTAGAGTTAAAGAAAAGTGCTTTTTCGTATTCAGCAAACTTGATAACCTGGAACATTTTCTATTTTTAGCGAGGGGTACCGCCAAAAAGTTAAGAAAAATTTTCAAAATTGTATAATTTTACCATGGAGATTTTTCTGCGTCAATTTGTTTGAAAATTTTTCTTAACTTTTTGGCGGTACCCTTCGCTAAAAGTAGAAAATGTTCCAGGTTATCAAGTATGCTGAACACGAAAAAGCACTCTCCTTTAACTCTAAACAAACTTTAATTTTTTTTATCGGTGATATGCTTTTTGAGTTTCCCACTTAATGCGACTGGATTGTCGTAACGATTTAGCCATCACAGCCGCTTGATTTAATCAGAGTAATCAATATTACTTTTTTAATTTAAGACGAAGTTTATGTTACCACTATTGACGTTTATCCGATTGTTGGTTCACTGGAAACTGGAAATGAAGCACTGGTTGCATTGCTCAATCAAGATCTTCTAACATGTATAAGTAAATTTCAAGAAATTGACCCTTGTTTAAAATGGCCATTTTCATGTTCGATGACACTACAGGAAATTGTTGAATTTCTTACCAACCTTAAAGTTGTCAAAGGAGTCGATGAAGCACGTGTGGGGGCGGTTCTACGAACCAGAGGATCACGAACAAGTGTTAAAGTGAGGTGCCTAGTCGATGATCTTGTCGCCACTGTGGAGCGAAAACGAGCTGAAACTGCACAAGGTACAAGAGAACGTCCAAATAGCAACACAAGAGGTGAACATGTAATCAATAACAGTGTTCTCAGCGTTCAAAAAGATATCATCGATATGTTTCTCGATGATTCAAGATTCAGTCCGAGTCAGCATGCAGCTCTCAGGTAGGCGTCTAACTGTGTGCGACTTAACCGTAAAAAACCACAAACTGCAGTTTTCTGTAGAAAAACCGTAGAAAAAAAGAACCACCATAAAAAATTCTTTACTCAAAGTTCTTCTATAGAATCAACTAATTGTTGTAGAGTTTGTCAACCAGAATATATATAATAACGTTAATCGGGGTCGGAAACTTGAAACTTCGGAGCTATAGAAGAACTTTGAATAAAGAATTTTTTATGGTGGTTCTGTTTTTCTACGGTTTTAGAAAACTGCAGTTTGCGGTTTTTGCAGTTTTTTTCTTTGATACAGAAAAGCTTGCCAGCGTTGCTCCATCGGAGCAAAAAATGTGAAAACTTCCCGCACAGAGAAAATTTAACGATTTCACAAAAGTCATGGCCTGTATCTGTTCTAAATACCTTTGAATAACAACAGATTTCTGGAGGTTGTTCATCAGAACAGCACCTGGTTACTTGGTGCAGTGAACGTTTTCAGTACTTATCCGAGACAATTCAGTGCTTATCCGACAGACAACGAGCGAGTCCTATCCAGATAAGCACTGAAAATGATTTTTTGAACCACAGTGGTTTTGCGGTTGTAGAACTTCAAACTTCCTCTTTTCCTTGCGGAAAAGTTGGGAGGGAAGTTTTCATAAAAACGGCGGGCGTGATTAACCGAACTGTTGCATGTCCATTCTTAGGAGCAAAATCCTACCGACAACTCGTATTCATCAAGCTTACTACGAGCCATTTAATCCAACAGTCAAATGCAACATTCAAA